AGAAAGAAATAGAGTGGTCAAGGTCAATGGTTAAAGGATGAAAGTCTGAGAAATTTTTTTTCTTTAAAAAAAGGTGAAGTGGTATTTTGACCATTTGTGTGAATGGGTAAATTGGTTTAAAGGTTCATAGATGAGGAAAGGCCTCACTGCCAGGTGGCTCGAGATGCCCTGCCGTGCATCAGGCATGTGAAACAAGAGCACCATTTATGTGATATAAGTATTTATGGGCCTTCTTCACACAGAAGGCTGACCAGTTGGGCTCTTGCCATTTCTTTTCTGTGTAGATTTCTGCCTGGCTCACATAGGGTGCCAATTTTTCTGCTGCCGGACAGCATGAACAAACACTTCACCCTAGATAGGGAGTATTGAGGTTTTCAATAAGTGGGCGTGATGATTTGGATTTACTCTTTAGCAAATGCTCACTACCCTTCCTCTCCCACTATAAGCAAAGCATATTTCTCCTTGTTTTGCCAATAGAATGTTAACAGACATGATGAAGACTGAGTCAAAATTTCTTTTATGGTTTGGCTTGTGTCTTGCACTCTGGTTACCCTTTATGGGAAAACATGACCTGCTTCTCCTCTGCTCCTTAGCCTGGGCCCCAGAACAAACATACATGGGACAGACCTGCATGAATCTGTGTCCTGGATCCATGCCCATCCAAATATAACTTTAACTACAAATGAAAACAAACTAGATTTAGCTGAACAGCAGTCATTACGCAGATCTTTGAACATGAGAATAAACACTTGTTTTTGCAACCATTAGGTTTTGGGTAGTTTGTTACTAAGCATTATTATGACAGTGGTTGACAAAGACAGTGGATTTAGCAAGATCTTATGCAAATTTTTCTTGAGGAAACATACATCTAATTAACACAACTTATTAGAATCTTCTGTGTTCAGAGTACTGCCTTGGACACCTGTTGAACTGGGAAGAAGGTCATGGTGGCATGAAGAAAATACCAAGGACAAATAAAGAACAAAGACCCTCCTTTTGAGATGTGTCTACCTGAACTTTCACACTTTGGTGTTCTGAGCACTACCTTCAAGTTTTTGCCATATTCTAGTACCAATGAACTATTATCTGTTTAATAAATTTTTATTTGACTTACTAATTTAATTAAACAGGGATTATGTATTCTAGTCTTGTTATAGTCATATATCTATAAAGGAAAAATGTATGTGAAAATTAAAATATTATAAGGGGTCCATCTACCTATCACTTAAATGGTTTCACATACCACTTTGTGGAATACTGAACATATAACATTTTCATTCCCAGAGGTGATCCCCAACTCTCAAGGGTGGCTTCCTTTGAAAGGGCAATTCGAACATCTGGAAATCTTCCCCCATGGATCTGTTTCTCTCTCATCTTTCTGTCAAAGTCCTCAACATTGCATGTGACGTCATGGCTTACTCTGGTTCATTCAAAACCAGGTCTTAGGAGGTAGCTTCTTAGTTGTTATCACTGTAATCAAGGATCTTAGAAGAGAATTGCTACTGATGTGCATACCTGAGAGTGCCACAATATGTAGACACATGTCCTGTTTTTGATGTTGATGCTTTCCCCACTATCGATGGTAGCTGATTATGGAAAGACAACAAAGGCTGTGGTCTTCACAAGGTGAAAGTGGATGTTTGAAAGTTTGAAGAATAACATCCTCCAAAGCCATCCCATAACAAGACCAAAGAGGTAAAGATAGTTTAAAAAGAAGAATTTAGACAGGAGTCTAGAGGATTTGGGCTATGAAAAAGCATCCACAAACAGAAGGTTAATGACTGAGAGGCTCAATAGTGAAGGCTTTGGTTCAATTCTCAGTTCTGATAATTATTGATTCTACAACTTGGCAAGTTTACTGTACTTCTGTGAATTTCATCTGTGAAATGGGGAAAATAAGAGTTCTTAGTTCCTTCATGGAATTGCTGTGGAGACAGAAGGAAAAAAATAGATAAGTAAAATATTTAGCACATTCCAGGCACATAGGAAATGCTCAGTAAAAAGTATGTGTTCTTTTTATTATGACAATTGTTATTATTTGGGTTTTATTATGGTATCAAACAAAAGATTGTGGAATTAGAATAGATGGGACAGAACAATTAAGGCAACCAGGAGGCAGTGTCTGCAAAGACAAACATGGTGCCTGTGCCCTAAGCCCCTGGTTGTTAATGTGCCTCTCCTCACTTCTTAGCTCTGAGCAATGTGGCTGCTCTCCATGACCAGGTATGGCTGTGGAGGTGGTGGCTCACTACAGAGTAAGCCATGGGAGATAAGAGGAGCCATGCTCTTGAGGCAGCTCCCAGAACAGAAGTTACTGTGCCTTCAGGAGGCTGCTAGGTGGGGAAGGGTGAGCCTGGGGGCCACGTTGCCATATCTTCTCTCCAGGAGGGACAGAACCCAAGTCCAGGAGGAGGTGGCTGTCCACAGGGCTAACATCACATAGCACGCTTTTTCCTTAACCTGCTTTTATCTAATCTGAGTTGTTCTGGGAAAACATTAGCTCCATGAATGTGATTGGTAGAAAAGGAGTGAGGAAGGAAATATGTGGGACAGAAGCTAGAAGTTCAGGGGTAAAGTACTGGGCCTTTCCGAGGAAGGGTAGGTAGTAAAAGAGGCATGATCGGTGTGTACCCACACAGGCCAAACACCACTAAAATCCTCAATCATCCTTTTCCCTTCAAGGTGGTCCCCGCTCCCACCCTTAACCCCAATTCTACTTTTCTATCACTGGCATGGCTATTCTCCTAGTCATACAGAAATGCAACCTGGGGCTAATCTGTGACTGTTTTAATGCCCTCCTTCATTTAACCATTTGTTTATTTTCTTCCATACAATTTTTCTTTCTGTGTCCTCCCTTCCCTTCTGCCATCACCATGGGTCAGGCCCTCATTTCTGCAACACCAGTCTGCCTCTTGACTTTTATCCAATCAACCCAGACCCTGGTACCATGCCAGCTTTTCTTAGATGTGGTCCCACCCTTCCTCAAAAGCCTTATTTTCTCCAATGCCTTATTTTCCAATGTTCTGACTTTTCTTCATGACTTTCATGATACTCTGTAATATGGCCCTAACTGACCAGTGAACTAATCCACTTCTCCAACAAGGGAGCCATTCTTTCATGCCCACCCCATCCCAACAAAACCATCATGGCCCTAGCACAGTGCTGATGGAATCAGGAAATATGGCCAAGATATCATTAGCATGACTGTCCAAAGAGTCATATTTTGCCTGAGATAGAGAAACAGGGGACAGAGGTGAGATACCTCCTCCCAGAATATGCTCGCTTCACTGAGACCACAGGTTAGGGCTCAATATGACATGGGAAATAGAGTTTCTGGCTTGGAATGCAATTCATTCCTACTAACATTTATAAAGCATCTTGAGAAGATGTGAAGGAAAAAGGAACACTGTACCTACCACTAAGTAGTTTTCAATCAATAGGGAGATGAAGATGCAAGCCACCAGCGTATGTAGTAGAATTAGTACAATGCAGAGTGAAAGAAACAGGGACTTGGCAAAGCCTCATTCCTTTGTAGAAGGCATGAGACCCTGTGTGGTAGGCACAGGCAAATATTACCTTCATTTTCCAATGACGAAACTTGCTTACCTGCCTGAGTGCTTAAGTGACATTTTTATTGTCACAGAGCTAATAATTAGCAGATTAGGGTCTCCTAGTTGGTTGATCTTTTTATTGCATGACTCTACCTGCCACCAGCAGGGCTATGAAACACGTGGAGAAGCAATTAAGCACATGTGGCAACACTGGGAATGGGCATGGGGCTGTGGGACCTCCTGGGTAAGGTGGCATTTGACCTGCAAATTGAAGAATCCAAGAGATTTCCATCAGTGTTACACCAAAATTAAAATGGAGACTGGGCCTGAAAGATTCCTGAGCAAACACAACCAAAGGCCTTAGAAGTAACCTTACTCTTGCGCAAGCAAAATTTAACTTGGGTCATTTCTGATAAATGCTTATGTTAGACAGAAATAAAACCTACCCAGCCAATCGTAAACAGCCAGCTAACATAGGATTCTTGACAAGGGACATTCCAACAGGTACCTACAATTATGGAACACCAAATCAATCAAATAACTTCTTATTTTGCTTCTGCATCTTCCCAATAAATACTTGCTTCTGATGCTTTGTCATCGAAGCCCTAAACTTCTTTTGTTCTATCATTCCCCAATTCATGAGTTGCTTCTTAAACAAATACTTTAAAATTTTATTGTGCCCCAGATTTTTCTTTTACAGAAGAAAGGAGAGAAGAAAGGATATTCCAGAAATAAAGGCATTTCCTGAGCAGAGCCACAGAGCAGGAGGAGGAGAGAGGACCCAGGGCAGTTGCATGGGGATTGAAAACTCCTCCCCTTCTCCCCTGAGAAGTGAGATACAGGAGGAGAGGCCTGGGTGTCTCCCCACTGATAAGCAGGCTCCGCCCAGAGGCCAAGAGTGTGTGTTTGGGGACGGGGACACAGTGACAGCGGTGCCCCTTCTCCAGGACGAAGAAACTGGGCTGGGGGCAGAAGGGAGGCCATTTCCTGCATCCCAGTCCTCAGACTCTGCACCTGGAGCAGAACCAGGAAGAATCTGGGAGCCCAGGAGGACAGACAGACGGCAAGTCCCTGGGGAAGATGTTCTCTTTTGGAGTCAGAGGCTTGCGGGGAGGGTGGCTGTGTGGGAATGGCCTGTCCCCTGCGTGAGAGGAGGGAATGCGAGGCTTCCAGAGTAGAAGGGGAAAGGAGAGGGAGATGGTGAGGGAGGGAGGGAAGAAATGGCACATCCAGCGGGGGAGGCTCATTCTGAAGCTCACCTGGGAACCCTGTCCTGCCATGGAAATATGTGTGGGAGGGAGGGCAGGCAGAGGAGGTGTTGCGTGACCTGATAAAAGTCCCTTTGATGCACCCCTCTCCCTGAATCATCTTCTCTCTCCTCCTTGTCTCACTTCAGGAGAGTGAGGACAGAAGTGAGGAAGAGCCCAGAAGACTGAACTCACTGGTGGAATGGGGACACTCCAGAGCCAAGAGGTAAGTGACCTCCTGCACTGAGGCTGGAATACATTGATGTCATCCCTTCCAGCTCTAACGTCCCACAAAGACTCATCGCCTAACGACCAGCTTGATCCTGATGCAAGGCAGGTGATGTCCATTATTATCTCACCTCCCAGGGGTCCAAACAGGGCTGGGTTCCAGGAGAACCAGGAGAATTATCTCTGTACAAAGGGTCCCTAACACTGACTTATTTATTCTCTCTCCCAACCCCTCCATTTTCATTTTTCTCCTCCTGGTTCTTCCCACAGAACTCTCCAGAAGAGGCGCTGCCCACCGAATCAAGCGGACCCTGGGCAATGACCAGGCGGGCGCTGATGATTGTCCTGCTTTTGGGCCTGCTCCTTGGTTCTTCCATGCTTTTGGTCTACATCTTCCAGAGCTGTTGCCCTCGTAAGCAAGATCCTGGAACACCCAACCTAGGCCACTGTCCCCCAAGGGTGGGCACCGGTGCATGCTCTTGAGGCTCCTGCCCCTGATGTATTAGTAGCCCGCCCTGACCCTCCCGCTCCCTGTGGTCCCACCGGGTCCACCAGAACACCTGCTCCTGCGGCTTCTCTCTCCTTTTCTCCTTCGCTCCTCACCGACGTTCCCTTGCCTCGCCCCTTGGGGGAAGCCTCGACCCCTTCCCTCTTTCCCAGCTCTGGGCCTTTCTCCACAGGCCCCTGTGAGACACAGGTGCATTTGGATCTCCTGGCCCGTTACCAGGCTTCTGGGGACACCAGTGTGGCTCCCTGCACCGACTTCTTCAGCTTTGCCTGTGGAAATCCCAATGGGACCAGGAATTCTTTTCAGACTCTTGAAGAGGAAAACAAGAGCCGACTTCAGAGGATACTGGGTGAGGGAAGTGGGGTGCAAGAGCCTCTGTGCAAGTAGCTGACTCTGGGCCTAGAATGGCGGTGACTGCCACAAACTCTGCATAGTTATGGGACAACTGATTTGCACCATCCTCAAAGGGCTCCTCAGGAAACTGCCTGGGTTTGCTTCTCAGTCACTGTCCCCTGTCGCTCGGGTCCCCGCCGCACCCGCTCATCTCTTCTGGCCCCTCTGCATCTTTTCTTTCTCTAATCCCCATCCTCTTTCCTTTTCCATTTATCCATGATTACTCCATTCTCTCCAAGTTCTCCCTTCTAACAAGCTTCATCTTCTTTGCTATTTACCCCCAAGTTTTCAATTTCTATCCCATGATGGTATCTTCCTCCACCAGCATCTCCTGAACGTCTCCTGCATGTTCAAACTTCTGCCTATCCCTGTCCTTCTCTAGCCTTCAAACGCTCTGGTCTCCCAGGGCCTCCCACCACTTGCCAGCTCCCATCTCTCTCATGATCTGTCACTTCTCCACTTGGATACTGGACCATGGTAATCAGCTGAACCAGAACAAGTGGGAAAATAGGAATGAATGACTGGAGACGACAGTGGAATGAAGGTGGCAGGATAGAGGGGTGAGATGTGACAGGAGGCTTCATCACTGGTGGTGTGTAAGGGCAGGAACACAGAGGATGTGCTGTAAGGAGGAGAGTCAAGTTAAAAGGCCATGGAAAAAAGGAAAATTCCTGTGGATGTGGCTGAGAAGAAGGGAAAAGAACTGCCGGGATGAGAGGAAAACCAGGAGGATGAACTGAGGCCATGTAGGAGGTTAGAAGGGGGTCCCAGGAAGTTGGTGGATGGTGGTGAGGAATTGGGAATAAGAATATATAAGATAGGCATGCGTTTCCAGCATAGGGACACCTAGAGGATGTGTTGACAGCATACATTGGAATCTGGGAGAAATAAATGCATCCCTCTGCTCTCCTTTTTTGATGGGAAAAGAGTGGGAGGTAGACTGTCTCTTGGTAGAGGGAACTTCCAGTTAAGGCATAAAGATGAAAGGAAAAAATATGCCCAGGATAAATTCTATTGACCACAATGGAATAAAGAGATATCCGGGGGACTAAAGGGTGGAGGATTCTGATGGATATGCGTTTGGATTATTGTAATGTGCTTATTTGTTTGTTTCCTGGGATCAGTGGGTAAGGAGAGTCCGGACTAGGTGAGTCTTCCCTTGTTTCTTCTCTTTGCTAAACCTTTCCTATGAGTTTTGTTTCCCTCTCCAATCCCTCTAAGTTCTGTAGTTTCCTGAATTTTTTCTAATTTCTTCATTCATCTCTCTCCTGCCTTTTATTTCTACCCTTTCTCCTTTACCCACATTCCACTCGTTTCTCTCTCACTCCTTTCCATGTCTTTTCCTCCTTGTTTGTTATTTCCACATTTCCTTTATTTTCCTCATTGTCTTCTTCCCACTCCTCCTCTCTGCTCTTATCCTTTCATCAGGTTGATCCATTCCAAACTGGGCAGTCCGCCCACCTTTTCAAGTTTCCTTAGCTCTATTCCTTACTTTCCTTCCATACCCCTGTAGACTTCTTCTCTTTCTGTCCTATAAGCTTCCTGTCTTCCATCTTCTCTGTTTGTCTCTACACCAGTCTACTCTCCTTTAATTTTCCCATGCTTGCTTTCTAGAGTCCCCAGGTTCCCAGCATCTAGGTTCTGGGGAAGAGAAAGCCTTCCAGTTC